AGCAGTACAGTCCTGTCCCCTCTGATACACATACCTCCGTTTCAACATTAGTGTCATTTACAGCCGCCCACGCTCTAGAGAAATACGCTAATTACCACACCTCACACCTACTCAATTGATTTCCTTCTGGGGAACACTCCAGACACTGATTTGCAGCAGCTTTCTGCTCAAGGCCTGTCACCACTGAACCAGCATTGATTTGGTATCAAGTAAACGCTAAAGCATTGTGAAATTTTACATCTGTTCCATTTTCTTTGTTTTATGCTACAAAATAAAGTAGTAAAAACTCAAACCCCAGCAAATACCTCCAAAGGGAATGAGGCAGGGTCGCACCATCTTTACCACGCGCTCAGGCAGCGCAACTCAGGGCACATTATTCCCCGTTGGGAAGCCTTTACTACTGTGTTTTGTTAGCCATCAAGAAACCCTCCTGAGAACAGTCACTTCAGCAACTGAAATGTTTTGCTTCATTTCGATCACTCACCAGATTTCATTAGCATAAGGAGAGTAAACATAGCATACGGCCATCCAAGGGCAGAAACTTTTCTAAAAGGATGTCACCAAAGACGGCAGGAAACACCCACAATAAGCAACACAAGTCAATCTTTATTGAAAACTGAAGTATTAATACATAACAATTCTTGTTACAATAAACGTGCTTTTAAGAATTTAAATCTGAGCTCATCTACTCATTGAATTGCATAAAAAATAAAAAAGTATGAATTTTCACAATTGAACTGGCTCAGAATGGAATCTCCACTCTTTGTGTTGATGCGATAGTTCAATGCAGGAGTGAGTGATGCCTTAAAACTTATCCTGGAAGACAACATTGACCTAAACTTAAAAAAAAGTACCAATACAACTGTTCGTAAGACAGTTTTTAAAAAAGTCATAAAAAGGAAACCTGTGTCTATTTCATAACAAACATGGAGAACTATTACTGGGGCCTCTTGTACTTCCATTGCATGCACTCACTTTTTCAAATCTTCGACAGGAGGGCAGCCAATAATAGCGTTACAATTAAGAAAAAAAACCCACTAACAAATCCATTCTACTTAAAACAAGTCTGTACAGCAGCCAGCTAAAAAAGCGTTCCCAGTTCGCCTGCTAAGTGCCCAAAAGTCACAACAGTTTAGAAAAAGTCATGTTCGCTTTCTTGATGTTGAAACTTCAGAGCCCACACGTTGTTCAGGATATATTTTACATCACAAATGGACCCTTACTACCCGTGGAATTCAGATGTTTCAGTGTTCTAATTCAACCCACGCACGAAAAGGTTTCCTTTCCCCAGATAAGCACTGTTCCTCTTCCCTCTCTTCTGTCCACCAAACACGCCTTGCTCTCTCTCGACACCCCCAACCAGAGGTGCAGCCAGCCTGCTCCTTCAGAGGAGATCTCGGAATGAGCCTGAGCCTTGGCGAGGCTCGATGCACGCAACTACCCTAACTCTGCTGCAGTAGTTCTTCTTAATTGGCACTCCGCCTCGTCAGATCTGAGGGGCTCTGCAGGAAGCTCAGAGTCGATAAAATACAGGATTAGAAAGCTGACACTTTTGAATGAGAGCATTCTGAATGAGCTTCAATCTTTCTGTCTTTTGACCAGGTGTTCACAAACACCTCGACACGAGGGGGTCAGTGGCTTGCTCGCGACCCCCCGCACGTGCTGGGCCAGCCAGTGACGCCCGCTGGAGAAGCTGGAGGTGGATCGTGCCTACTCCCTACTGACTACTGCACGAACCACAGCCTGGGCAACTGCGAACTGCCGCTCAACCACCACGGCACCTGCCCTCTCTCCGCAAGTTCCAGCTGAAGCATCGCTACTGCTCACGTTCCTAAGATGGCAGGTTTCACACGCGTGGTGTTTACTACTCTCTGGTACGAGTTTAAGCCTAGAGCCAAGTGGCAGCATCGGATCGCTGTGCTTACCCATTCAAGCAAATGTTTGTTCTAAACCCAAATGACTGGTGTATAACACTGTGCTTCAGCACCGGGGAGGGATTCCAAGTCAATTCTGACGGCCTCTTGCTCAGATAGCTTCAGTGGCCTCCTGCCCACGTAGCAGGGAGGCCAGAATGCTCCAGGAAGAGTAGTCAATGTTGAGTACCCTGGTATACAACTCTGTACCATGAACTATTCTCAGACAACACTAAGACGTGGTGGTGGCGGTTTGGTTTCTTTTCAGTGAATGAAGCAGTGTAAGAAAGGACTTCAGCTAAAGTAACAGATTTTTTTCATCTACCACTGCCTCTAAGCATTTAACTTGCATAGGACACTCAAAAAGAAGCTTTCTTGAACAGCATTCCTGTACGTCTCCTAGAAACTTCAAACAGCAGATGGTTACAACAAGCGTAAGCAAGATCTAGTAGTAGGTTCTCTGTCTTCCTTCCTAGTGTTTCGTTAACAGCCACCACACCACTGACTAGGGCTGCACGGTTTTGGTGCCAATTATTAGCCATTTTTCTTTTGCTGCTGCTACATTTAAAAGACATTTTCATCAGTTGTTACTGACATAGGGAATACCTCAGTTTTTAAAAAATACTTTTATCTAAACTCAACACCTGAAATTTGAATTAAAAAAAAAAAAATCTTTCTTGGACTTCTCTTTGTTATTGCTGCAACGGTTATTTTCAGTTCCAGGTTTAAAGTAGTATTTTTTTTTTAATCATATAAAGCTGCCATAAAAGTTTGTTGTTTGTTTTTTTGGTTTTTTTTGTTGTTTTTTTTAAAGAGAAGCTTGATCTGAAATGCCTCTACTGCACTAGCTCCAGTCATCTGCTGAGGAGCTCTAGTGCAAACACATACTGCGTATTTATTTATAAAGGAATTCTAAATAGGGAATGTTATATAAAAAGCAGGAGAGAATGTTTCGTAAGACCCTCACTGTGTAAACGCCTATTTAATGATGTACAGTTTCCCCCGCCACAGTTTTATATCCATGCTTTCTACTATTTGCAACAAAATACCATTAAGATAGTTATATATACACATATTCCCCCCGTCCCCCTGCACTGTGCTTTTGGTTACTTTCCATATTCACTAGCGGAGACACGCTCCACCCTCCCAGTCGATTCCAATCTATCGGAACTGGAAGGTGTAGTACCTTCTAAAAAAGGTACAGTTTCCCCCTCGTGGATGAATCCCATAATGCAACTTAGAAAAGAAAGTGCTCAAGTCAGTGAGACTGCCTAAATGTTATGCAATGTTATACAGAGACCAGTTCCAAGGCGACGCTGAGCAAATCTACAGCAAGTTCTATCCAGTCCTTAACTATTTCTCTATTGCAGCACTCATGAAAGTCCTCTCCTATGATTTTCAAAGCTTTAGTTTATTGGGTGACGAGACAGGAGACAGCAAAGCTTTTGGCTTGTTCTTTACAGCTTCTCCCCAGTATAGCACTGTTTCATACCTCAGCTCTCTGTTAAAATCACGCTAAGACCACAAAACGTCACTCCCTACTAGCTACAACGGACAAATGGCCTGTGTTACTGTTCACGGTGCTCTCTGGCACACCCGACTAACCAAAGCTGCAAAGCCACTACACAAACTTCAACAAACTTGAAGCAGTACAGATTCAAATAAGTTCGTCTGGGGTAATTTTCTGCTCCACATAAAAACAAAGGAAATCCCTAAGCTGCAGTAAGTGCTCATGAGTAAGGTTTGAAGTACTTTGTTATGTTCAAGGCATTAGAAATAAGGGGGCCGTCCACTGACAGTGGTTCATGCAACATAAACCTAAACTTTATTAAACAAAAAAAAAAGGGGGGGGGGGGGGGAAGTACAAAACATGGAGAGTGCTTACTGTAAAAAAAGGTACTGCAGGCTGTAACCACCAGCGGGTTATGAAGGTACGTCAGCCTCCCGCCAGGGCAGAGTACTGGAATGGCAGCATTGTATCAGCACTGATGCGACCCTGAAGCAGCTGCCAAGTCTGTACAGGAGCAGAACACCCCCAAACAAAGCCTAACTAGATACACAACTTTAAAAAAATTACTTCTAAATGGAAGTTAACCTAGAAGAACAATACAGCCTGATACACCTCTGTGTAAACCCTTAAAAGGGAACAACATCTTATAACCATTTACTGCATAATTTATTGCAGGCAGAACGTATCCAAAAACAGAAAATTGCATCTTTCTGGAATCATAACTCAAGCAGGTTTAAGAAAAACCTCGATTTTATGTGCAATATTCAAATTTAAAAATTTAAAATCTCCCCCATAACAATTTCGGTATACAAATGGGTTCTAAGGGTAGCCCTTTATCCCCACAGCGTTTGCTTTGAGGTACGTCTTAAAAATTGAAGTTGCAAGAAAGAATATCAGAAATGACTCATTGCAATGAAATGCTGATCTGCAGTCAGTCTTCTTTTACGCGCTTCCAACTGCAATTTAGGAAGTGAAAGAATACTAAGGAAACACATCAAAAAGCTGTAACCAACAAATGGCTCCTACTTCAATTACAACTATTCTCAGGAAAAAAAACAAACGAACAAAAAAAAAAGAAGAGCTATTTGAAACCTATATTCTGGCAGCCCCACTACAGCGTATCCATAGTCCATACTGCAAGTAGCTAATAAGGAAATTGTGTTCAAATGGTTTGTTCCCCTTTAACATACTCATCAGGCACACAAGCTTTCCTCAGAATAACGTGCAGCTGAACTCCTCCTGTTTGTCACAGAAAGCCCTAGCGTTTCTTCAATTTCAGGAAAGCAAGCTGGATCGACTGCACATACGTTTTCCACTGACTACAACATTCTGTAGGAAAACCAGCACGGATTTCCTGAACTGAGAACTAGAAGAAAGTGTTTCTCTATCGCTTTGTGTGGCAGTCTCGCTTCGACGCACCTTGGATCAGATGAAAGACAGCACTGGATATGTATCTCCCCAGGACACGCAACTCACTACGCAGGTGGTGTCACCTCCTCCTATTCCCAGGAGCCAGCTTTGCCTCAAGGAAGTTTGCTCTTATTTACTGGCACACACGGCATTACCTTTCTCATTTCATTCTCAACCCTAAGAACATCTGTATAACACTGAATCCATGTAATGAAAATGAAAAGGTATGAAGTAAACTAATTGTGTGCGGGATTTCTACAGCTTGTCTGACTAATTTTCCAGTCGCTCCAATTTAGTAGTTGAATTTGAAAAGAATACATCACTTAAATAAAAATATGCCCCCTTTAAACTGGCAACTCCATCAACCCGAAAAAGGCTGAAGCACTTCTCTAATGTATGTTACGGTATTCTGTAAAGAAACTCACTTTCATGATTCTACCTCTTAAGACCCTGCATACGTTACAACAGTGCATTAGTGATACAAGTTGTAAAATACTTCTCGGTTCCTTTGGATTTGCATATGATGGTTTTTGCATCAGTCACTGCAGGTAGATTGAGCAAGCTTTGTTTTTTGTGTTTTAACATGCATTCAACTAGATATGGATCAGAATAAATTTATACTCCCTTTTTATCATTATAATTAGCTAAAAAATTGCAAGACAGTCCACAAAACAGGATTTGCTTTAAGACTAACTGCTGGAGTTCCAAGATGTAAGATATGCAGCACTGGAAAATCTTCAGTGATCAGGAATTAGTAGTGTTTAGCCAAGTGTTGAAAGCGTTCAGAAGAAAAGTCCTGGTTGGAGGCATGAGGGCTTCAGCACCAACTTTTAAACCTCAATTTCTTGATTGCATATCTCCCATCTTCAAACCTACGTTAAGAGGGGGGAAAAAAGTAGGAAATCTCAGTTGTGTGAAATGCTATTTGAGCGTGGCAGAACATTCTGACATTGCAATCACCTCATCGACACGCACACACCACAGAGGTCACGTATTAGATAATGCTACCCTAGCACTTGTCCAGTCAACTGAAATCTACAGGCTCCTAGGTGAGAAATTCACTGCTACACTGATTTTCTCCTGCCATGTCCGTCCCAGCTTTCTGTCATCGCTAGTAGTTTTGTCATAAGTAGAAGGTTCATTATGAAAAAGGTGTTTTACGCCAAATTATCAGCAGTCGTCAGTTCAGTCACAGCAAAACTCTCACTTTTCATACTCCTGTAATATGACACTCCTGGATGAAATATTATACGTGAAACATATCTGCAGACTGACACGCAGCACCACAGCAGAACGAGAAATGGCTGTTGCGTTACTAACTCCAAGGGAATACAGTCACCTGTCATCCCAGAACTCTGGACTCCTAACTGCTGAAGCAGAAATCCAGGCAAAGTTAAAACAAAGTTAACTTTGTCATAAAGTAAATGGACTAAAAGCAAAAATGTCTAGTTCAGCTGGTCTGACAAGTCCTAATTTCAAAGGAAGCTGTTCTCAATTTATGCTAAAAAAACAGAAACAGAAGCGATGATCCCAGAAACATTAGGCTTTGTGTCAGTTTGACACACATTACGCCCCCAAAATCCATCCCACCTTACAGCAGATTTCAAAACTAAACTCCTTTTCTTGAAACCCATCATCTAAATTTTGGTCCACACTAGAAATAATTTTTCCACGCTGACTGCAAGAGGTACGAACTGAAACTTACCCGAATCAAAGAGTGAATATATGAAATTAACTCAAGGTTGTGTATTTGTTTCAGCAGCTTGTGAGACAGATTCACCGTCAGAGCAAGGCAAAACTCTTACCCTGCCAGCATGTTTGGCCAACCAAAAATAAGACCACAAAGTTACACACGCTGCTTCATTCAGCAATCACAGTACTGCCGATTTCAACAATTACCAAAGAATCCAAAATACTGAATACATTTAGTCCCAGATGTATTTTAGTCAGGCAAACTTCAGGCTCGTTCTTTCATATTCAACAATCACAAACTATGAAAATGATTCATGCTTTCTGAAGATACAGACGCCCGAAGCAGCCCCGCTAGGCTTCTCTCCTTTGCGGGGAGCCGCTATTACATAAGCCGTAATTTTTGTGCATTCTTACTCAATGAGAATACTGTAGAAGTACCCCAGACTGCTTACCTTCTGACAATGTTCCCCGAAAGAACCTGCAATGCTGTCATTTATAAGAAAGATTAACCGCTTTCAACCTAAATCGGCAACTTACACTGACTGCCAGGATGATCACCACTGCGGGGGCACATAACTATAGGTTGGCGTTCCTGGAGCCCGGTACGTGGGCATAGTAACGGGATGAGGGGCTACTGGAGTTGGGGAATGAGTTGTCAACAAAGTACCTAGGATGAAGAAAACATTTTTTTCAGTAAGCACAAATTCTAGTACAGAGGAAAAAAAAAAAAAGGAGGGGAGAGGGGGGCCAGGAGAAAAAAGAGTTAACTTTAGAAACAATTACTGCTTGCTCATCTTCGATGTAAAATTACCAGTATCGTTGTCCACTCCAGCCCCAATCTTCCTTCAAACATCGACGCAAGAGGATCATTTTGATGTTTAGTCCAATGCACACAAAGATACTCACTACTCAAAAATAGCTCTAGCAGAAACCCTGCAACGTAAGTGCTGTTCACTGCAAAACTTTTTCCCGCAGCAGGCTTCACATGCCCTCAGAATAACTGATGGTATAGATAGCTGCACTGAGAAATCAGAATAAATTCGTTCTTGTTTGCATGACTACAGATAGGTTTTTTACAGACTAAGGGGCTTCAGCAACAGGCTGAGATAGCAGGATCTCAACAGTCTCACTCTACAGCACTTTGTAGAAACAGTAACCGACACCTGGGACAAGCCTGCCCCTGTACGAAACCCCAATGTTAGCTCAGTTTGTGACACGTAACTTCTCTAGTTCTGAGACTCCTCAAATTAAATGATAAATCTGACAAGATAAAAACCAGAATCTGAAGACAAGCTCATGACTCTCGTTTTCTTAGATTACTGAATTGAGCGTCCTTTGAACAAATGTGGACATCTCTTCGCGAGTCAACACCCGCTGAGTAACAAAGCGTGACACCCCGCCTCGGCAAACACTCACAGATGAGTCTGCATTATTTGTTAAACCATGTTTTCTCCGAAACACTACAACTAAGAGAGCGTGGCATTAGGAAGCAGACATTCCTAAGCATTGCCTACGACACAGAAGACCTGCAGGGAGTGCAAACACATAAAACCCTACATCTCAACATACAACGGTCCACGATACGAGGGGTGGGCTGGTAATGCTGCATTTTCCTCAGCCTCAAGAGGCTGCTGTTTTCAACCAGGCACAGAGAAACGTACCGAGAAGAGCAAGTCAGACTCTTGACACTGGTAAGATGAGGAGCAAAGGAGGCAAGTGAAATTCCATACACACAGAAAGAAAAACTATTTTACCACAATACTAAAACCTGAAAAGAAGATTTGGTATCTCCATCCTTAGAGATGATCAAAACATCACTGAACAAGTGTGCAACCTGATCTAGCTGGACCCACTTTGAAGACGCTGGACTAGATGACCTACAGAAGTCCCTTCTAATCTCAACAATTTTCTCCTTCTGCCAAGTGCACCTCTGGCATCACACATCTGTGAGGCAGCTGTGTTCTGCCTCGGACTGGAGGGAGAGCTTCATCAAGAAAACACAGAATCACAGAATGGTAGGGGTTGGAAGGGACCTCTGTGGATCATCTTAGTCCAAAGCCCTGCCGAAGCAGCGTCACCCAGAGCAGGCTGCACAGCACCGCGTCCAGGCGGGTCTGGAATATCTCCAGAGAAGGAGACTCCACAGCCTCCCTGGGCAGCCTGGGCCAGGGCTCCGTCACCCTCAGAGGGAAGAAGTTCTTCCTCATCTTCAGCTGGAGCTGCCTCTGCTTCAGTTTGTGCCCGTTGCCCCTTGTCCTGTTGCTGGGTACCACTGAACAGAGTCTGGCCCCGTCCTCCTGACACCCACCCTGCAGATATTTAGAGGCATTTCTAAGGTCCCCTCTCAGCCTTCTCTTCCTCAGGCTAAACAAGCCCAGCTCCCTCAGCCTCTCCTCGTAGGACAGATGCTCCAGTCCCTTCATCATCCTCGTAGCGTACACAGAGGCTGGTAGCTCACGTACCTGCTGACATTGCCATAGTCGTCCCAGCCACCATCCCCATCGTCACACCGTTTCCTCTCGGCGGTGGGATCGGAGCCGGATACATGGTCGCTGGCATGCCGTTCGGCTGCACAACCGTGGTGTGGTGAATTACGTGGGGTGGTGCTGCATATAAAGGCTGTGTGTAGTAAGTGCCTTGCTGTTGGAGGAAAAAAAGTACATTAAGTAATGACGGTACATCTGGTGCGGAAGATAAACGTCTTCTTCTATGGATGTATCACAAAATAAAAGCATAATTCTAAAGATGCAGTGTCTTTATAGAGCAGAAGCCAAAACACTCATTTCAGCTATTCCAGTTGCACTGCACTAGCAACCTTTTTAACATTTAGCCCCTTTTTAAGGCATTCAGGGTAATGATCAAAAGCAGGGACCTTTGCAGAACTCCAGTGCCGACTGAACCTTCAACAATAAGGGCTATTCGTCACTCATTCCCTTTGTTTTGTATCTTCTCATCTATTAATCCATGGCAGAACTTCTCTCATTCTTTCACAGCTTTTTATTCAGCTGCATTTGGTTTATGAACCAAAGGTTTTTGACAGATTCGAATACACTAAGCAGATGAGATAAACCTTGTTACACGCTTATTAATTCCTTTCAGCTACTGCATACACACCAGGCAATTTTCCTCTGTGCAAAAAGAGGGCCTGCTTTTCTCCAAAATACCACGTTTACTGAAGTATCTTAATTCTATCCTAACAGTTTTCAACAGTTTTCCTAGCATGAGACTTGGTAGCTCCCTGAATCACAACGGAGGCTTCCTAAAAAAAAAAATTAATGCAAGTTTACGACAATTTCTGACGAAATCAGGAGGTGGTAGTTATAGCATCCAGCACACATTTTTAAAATCACTCAGTCCAGTGTCTCTTCAAAGACTGAACACATTATCAGTAAGTGCAGAGTAACTGTCACGCAAGAGAGAATGTAAAAGTGCACACACACACTCTAAATTACTGTATTAAGAATTCTCACGGGAGGCAGCTGAAAATTCTCCCCGTCCACGAAGAAGTAGATGTGATGTAAAGCTAGAGCTCAAGCAGACATTACAAGCTAAACGAAACACTACCCGAACAGACAGTTTTTTGGTCTCGTTCCTTTACCTGTGCATACGGATTCTGCTGTGGATAGGCACTTCGAACTGGGTACACAGCAGTCTGATAGGGATTCGGCGATGAAGAATACGGTGGCACTGCACCACTAGTGGGTGAGCAAGATACTTTGTATGGGGTGCCTGGTGTGTAACCTGAAACAAAGGTAAATCTGCATTAAACACAAGAAAAACAACTGTCAATACACTGCGTTCTAAAGTCAGGGGTAACAGTTTTCCTAATTTCCTGAGTCCTTAACCTTCATGTGAGGACTTAGGAGGCTAGTCTCACTATCCAAGCACAAGTTCTAGCGCGCACGTAACACTGATGACAGCCTGAAAATTACATCTGACTGCGTCAGCTAAGCATGAGAAGGTGACTGTGTTTTTGCACAATTTGCTTTTCAAATCTATGGATACAGGATAAAAAAGTGGATTTGGATTTTCATAGTAGTATCATTAAATACTTGGATTCTGCATATTAGGCAACATTCCCACATAGGAGGATTTGGCACGTGTTAGTATCAGCCCAGTTCTCAATGCACCCCAAATTGTACCAGCAAAACACAGTAACAGTTAACTAACCCTCAGTTACCTTCTGTAGAAGATGATACAGCAAAAGAATAACAATTTCAAAAGTCACAATCACGTAAAGAGCTCAAGATGGATCTTCAGAGAACAGAGAGGCATCATCTGCAACCTCTACTTCAACTTACATTTATTCGTATTTGTTTTCTGGCATTTTCTGAACCGGCCAAAATAAATATGAAAGGCCATACCTCTAAAACACAAGCACTGTAGCGTTCATTGCAAATCAGACCTTGAAGGCACCTTAACATCTTTAAATCTCCTTTTTGTGTATTACATACATAGACATACCCTCAACCATCACTTAAGAATTGTTTCTATACATTACAGTAAGACTTCAGACGTCATCAGAAAGAATTTTGCATTCCTATTACAAGGCCCCCACAATCAGCCTGCCTTGTAATGTTGGGAACTGTTCAACTTTCACAGGGATAAGCAGCAACTGCTGGCTCAGACCCTGCCTAAAGACAGTTCTTCCGTAGCTTCTCCAGCCCTCAGACAAAGTCCCAGGACAACAGAACAAGGGCTTGAGGAGGCACGGAGGAGATCTCTGAAAAGCACCACTGCCGCTCCTTAAAAGTGAACCACGTGGTTATTCAAAAACCCAGAAACTTAAGAAAGCTGCCTGTAAAAAGGTACCCTTTCTGAACAGCAGTGGCACGGCACATGTGCGTGATGTGAATTTACTTAAGGTTTGAGTCTACACACAAGCAGTTACATCAGAAAAATTAAAAAAAAACCCTACAAAAAATCCCAGCTGTTAAGACAACGGACTTCAAGTTGTCATCTGCCTGAATTAGTAGATCTTGACGTTTTGAACTTTAGTTCATAGCTTAGAGAGTAGCTAAAAATTCAAACTATTCTTAGCTCTGAAATGAAAGCTTATTTTCTACTCAACAGCAATAAAGACTTGAATAGTATTAGCTTTAAAAAAAGTTACAGACATTTGAAGATGGTATATGACTTCTATATGTTTCCATTCCTTTTTCACACAAAAGTGCAAAATTTCTTCCTCTAACTTTGTTAAATAGCATGAGATGTATTCCCAAATCAATCACTGCAAACTAATGTTACAACACGATCAAGTCTAAGTAGTCAAGAATCTTCCCCAGAAACCATAACCTTCTATTACAACATAGCTGACACAGAGGAAAAAAACCCAGTCAACGGGATAAAAACATCAGTCTCGTGATTTGGTAAATTGATTGCATGCAGCTCGTCTTCACCTTCCTGCAGCAGGATTTGCAAACTGCAACCAGTAACAAGACTGGAACTACCTTTCAGCTGTCTGATCCCAGGATCCAAACCTCCAGGCACTCACTCCTCAGCACAGCTGCTGCAATCTCGATGATACACACAACGGAGCAGGGAGGCAGAGACGCATCACTAAGGCAATCTCGGCCGAGGAACTGAACAGTCTATTAGTAACACAAGTCGATAATAAAAGCCCACACAGGGTTTTGGTTCCCATGCTATACCCCTGGTGGGAACTGCTCTCCCTTGAACATCACTCTTTCTTAAGCAATCCAGCGGATATCCAAGCTGGTACCCCTAGACAGGATGGTGGAGGCAATACCCTATCCAAAGGGCAGATTTTTTTTTAATTACTGTGACTTGTAATATCCATCCATTTCCTCACGTTAAATTCAAGACCGAAGACAAGCCAAAATCATTTCTGCACTCGCTATGCCTCTAAGCAGCAAAGCAAACAGAGACACAGGCTGTACCACCCAGAATACTCCACGGTTCCAAGGACAGCTACGCAGCTACACACTCTTAACAGGTGCTGCAGGCAAACACCATAGATGACTTACTCTCTCTTGCCTCAGTAATTGCTGCCACGCCCTTTGTAAGAGTCTCCTGGTAGTTACTGAAACGCCACACGTTACAGACATCGAACCGCAATACTGCAAGCGGGCTTCCACAGTGCAAGCTTCCCAATTTCAAGCAGCGTCCTTTCCTGTCCCTGTAAGTTACCCAGGGGCACTCGGACAAACCTGACGATGTGCCACGTGCAAGCAACGTAAGGAATTCCTTAGTATGCAAACTACCCGCAGGGAGAACACTCTTCTATCACGTCCATGTTCCCGGTTTAAGAGGAAATTAAATGCTCCCAGTTTCTGCTTTGTTTCAAGCATCAGCCCATCCAAATCATCTTCTACTAGTGAAAGCAGAACTACATGAAAGCAACTTAGGGGAGTGCTTTGGTTCCCCTTGTGTCTATTTTTCCATCTCCCTTTTCCCAGGCTCATCACATTCCCTTTCTCTGAAATGACAAGCGTGCAAGCGCAGTTACCTAAATCTTCCCCCAGTACCCACTACAGACAGACCAGTTTTACCCAGCAGCTGCACTTTCCAGAGAATTAGTTCCAGGACAATTTTACAGGCAGAAAGAAGGCAGCAAGCTGAACTTGGAACAATATGATTTAAGAAAATGATGAAAAAGAATAATTTTGAAGACAACAGACAGAAAAATAAGAAACAGGAATCTGGAAACAATCAGTAAGATGCAAAGCAAGCAGAGTCAAAGGAAGCAGTGCAGGGCAACACGATGCAATCCTCAAGTATCAGCCTGAAATATAGGAATGACAGCTAAAACCTCACCTTTTCCCTTCTCTGAAGGTGAAAGCAGTACAACTCAAGCCAAGATTTACTCAATTTATCAGATGATTCCTTATGAGTCATATTCAAAGTAACACAAAACTCATCCCACAGCGTAAGTGTTCCTGTAAGCCCCTGTAGCTTTTCCTCGTTCTCGGTTCTCACAACTTCCAAGCTTCGGGTCACTGCTTTGACACACCTCTTGCACATACCTGTCTGGAAGGTAGGATTTGCTCCGGGATACATGTTAGGGGAATAGGCAGGAGCAGCCGCTGCATAGCCCATTGGGAAGCCAGCTACAAGAAAGAATATGTCAAAGTTATTTTCTAGACTGACTGCACAGTCTAACCAGACTTTACTCTCAAAGATTCATGCTGTACATCTTTTAATTGAGATAATCTAACAGATGGCCTTTAATCACACCTCTTCAACTAAAACACCAGGCTCCTCTTCTCCCAAGCCACCTGAAGCGGAATGCTAGATCAAGGCAACAGCCAAGGAGTCAAAGTGCCAGTCCCCCTTGCATCCCTGCCTCAGCCATTTCAAAGTTGGCCAAGTAACTCTTAAGTTAGTTCAACAAAAAAGTTTTGTGCAACTGTCTGACCCTCCTCCCTCCCGCCCTGAATTTCAAGCCCTGATGTACATAAAATATTTATCTGAAGGGAGTTTTTCACAGACATAAACCCCTAGAAATCAGAGCGACTCTGACTCTCCAGATCAGAGATATCCCAATTGGGGAGTACAAAGCAACCTTGGGTAGTCCACAATGCTTGCTGCATTTATACAGATTTGTTATCACACTCAGAAGCTCACCAGTTTCAGGCAGGTACTACGACAGTGAGCAGTAACAAGCGAGTCGCTGTGGCAGTGGCAAAACGCCGGGCAAACACTTCTACAGCAGAATACAAGCACCGCCACGGCTGAACTAACCTTGCGATGCACTGGCCTCCAACACCAGGCAAAAACCAGCATGACCAGAAGCTACAGTTACTTGAAAGATATGAAGTTTGTTTAGATTGTAATAACTGACATTTCTGAATTAATCATAGCTATTGATTTTTCCAGGAACTTCTTCACGTTATTCCAAACTGTAAAACTGAGTAATGTCTGTGTTTAGAAGACAGAGTTACTACCACATTTTGTTACCAACATACAAAGATTGCAACTTCTCCAGATAAAAGGCAATTACTATTTGCATGTTCACTGTCAGGCTTAAAGCTGCTAGTTTTAAACTGCTATTCAAGTTTGCAATTACTCGCAACAATAAAGATTCCTTAGCTCAGGACTATATATGCTAGCCTAGTTTTGTAAAGCACTCTGTAAACTTATCAAGTGACTCACACTTGGCACTACTATTAGGCGGTCAGCATGGGTAAGACTAAGAGAAGCATTAGGCTTAAAAATCAAAGGTAAAAATCACACATCCAATTCATAACACCTTTACAGAATGTAAATAGCTCTTAAGTTTTCAAACTCACACGCTGCTAGTAAAAAGCTTTAGTACAGCTTTACACCTTAGACTGACAACACATCTGCAACGCCATTTGTGCTATATACATTTTCACTCCTCTACTCCTCCTTCACAGGTTTAGCTCCACAGTGGAGCACTGAGCTGCTCAAGAAACAAGTCAGTTTGTGAAAAATATAACTACTACAAGCAGCAGTTTTAACTTCTACACAGAACTTTCACCCACGTCAGAACATTTGGATGCTGATTCCTTGCTACTGCAAGCCCATCCAGCCCATCCAACAACCTGAAATAGTTGTAGTAGAATATAAACAGCTATTAAATATGCAACAGCTTTAGAAACAGAGTGCCTTTAAATAATACATTCCACCTAGTGATACATTCATTAGTTTCTATCGCCATGCAACCCCTGTAAATTCAATGATTCTGAAGGGAGAATCTGTAGCTTTTAAGTTAGGAGAGGCAAAAGATGGAGACTTAGCCATGCAACAGTTTTTTAAAAAATCCTAAAATGCAAGTCTACTCTTCATTTCAGACAATGTGTTTGCCCAGCAAACGATCTGTAACAGTGTACCACTGTAGACCTTACTGACCGAGCTGAATTTAAGGGTCACAGCTGTGTAAACTGACTGGCTGCTGCAAGGAAGAATTTTGAGTGATCAACTCGTAGCATGACACTTAAGGCATTTCCATAACAATTCTACTTCAATTCCATATATTATAGTTATGCTAATTTACAACCAAGTGAAGACTGGCAAATACATAGTACTTACATAATTCAATATGTAGTCTACTATGTGTAACAGTAGAATACAAGATCAGAAGTTGTAATGTTGTTTCAACTGCTATTTATGAACCTACAATAGTATATCTTCCTATGTAAATTAAGGTACCATTTAGATTAGTATAAACAAGAGCATCAACGCAATGTGTAAATAGTTGTAAGTACAAATGAACCCCTGGTTAATACAAATCTGTGTTTAGAAAATAAACAGAGATAAAAATACAAGGTTATATTTAAATAATTCATAATAATTTTATCTAAAGCAAAAGAAAGCTTTGAAAAAGCAATCTATTACAAACGCAGAAATAATTGTACTGTAACTGATTACTAATTAGTGAACCACTGCTGCTTGTCTTATTATAAAATTACTGTAGTCCATACAACTAAAAGAGTCGCAGAGAATAAAACCATCCCGCGGGACTTACGGTTACACTGCATCAGCTCTACAATTTATTACTGCACCATTTCAGTCACTCAACAGACTTAAAAACATTGTAAGGAAGTTTGTGTTTTCCCCTTATAAATACTGTAGAAATCAAGAAAGGTACACTAGTTTGAGGCCAAAAATTAAAAGTATCTGAAAAGCAAGAATAAAAATTAAAATGTTTTTGAGACAATCAAGTTAACAGTAAAGAAAATTCATTTAAGCACCAGGACATAGAAGAAGGAACAGCGAGAAGTGGAGCAGGAAAACAGGAACTCCAGTACACTGCCTAAGCTGAAACCCAGATTTAAAAACTGTAAATACCAGTAGGAAAATATAGTACAGTTACAAAGAATATAAACAGTAACGGTGCAGAACGATCTCTAGCTCCCAACGCAGATACCAACTACATCACCGACCAGCGTCCCTGTAAAAGCTACAGAAGTTTAACTGGTTATGATACATAAAGTCTGAGCTGAAAGACCCTCCAGCTTCTCCCAGGATGGAATAATTCCCTTACCCCACAGGCAGCAGAAAAGAAAAAAAAAAAGAGAAGACTGCATCAAGGGAATACTGCTTGGAACACCTCGGAGGGGCACACAGCTCTTCCCTTCAGCCTTCCGGGAAAGTTCTGTCCAAATCACACTATTGCCTCACCCAGCTTCTGAACTATGGGGACATCAGAAATGAAGCCTGCTCACACACACGTCAGGAGATGAGGGGAAAAAACCCTGGTGAGAAATCTGAAGCCAAATGAGAAACAGAGAAAGCAAGAAATACATTTATTTTCTGATTTAAAGACCTTTTTTGGCCGTTCTCTTGGTCCTGCCTTTGGTACTCTACTTCGGGCAGTCATAAAACAGATAGCATGAACAAGACCTAGAGGATAGAAAGGTTAACAGCACCAGCCAGCTAGCAGCAGAAATAGACCGACTCCTCTTCTTGCAGGGTGTAATTATTAGAGCTCCTAAAATAAGCTGCTTTGGAAGAGATGCTGAAGTTAGAAATATAACAGAACAACTAACACGACTCTCGAAATGTCACTTTTTAAATTTAACCCATCCCCCTAAATCTTGAAATGGATTACCACGTTCTTAAGTGACTATTTCTTCCTGGTTACAAACACAGATCAGTGTAACTGAAACTCATTAAAAACCAGAGTTACTTACCTGGATAACCAATTCCTTTGGCATTTGCATAGGGAACCCCAGAAGATCCAGGGCTATACACAGGATTCATGATTTCAGTAACTGAATCGGGGAAAACAAAAAAAAAAGAGAAAACAGTATTTACTGAAGTACCGGGAAAGCTCGAAATCTAGCAACAAAAATGGAACTGGAAATGAGGGAAAGCATATCGGAAATAAAAGTAATGGAGGAAAAATCAGCAATTCCACTACTCACCAACATTAAAACTGTAGCTACAAGCGAGACAGCGTCCCTGCAGAAATAAGCTGCAAAGTATCAGAGCTCTCAATCGGCTAGAGAATCTCTCGGGAATGAAACCTCCCCTGTTGTGGAGCATGCTTTCAAAATCCTTCCATCCCTCGGAGCTCCCCCACGGCACGCAAACCCATAACCCACGGCAGGAGTTCACCCGTGCTGGACTTCTCCCCCCATACCATCTATTACCTCCCGAGCACTTAGGATCTTTCCACCATCTATCAGCCTTGGTTTCTTCCTGTTTCTTTCCTGAAGCATCTAGCCAAGGGATGCAAATACTTACGGTCTATTCCTACCGGCATTTCAAACCGGTGCTTACAGTCCTTTACAGCACTAGATTCATCCACTGCCAACAGCCCGAGCATTACAGAAGCAAGTGGCATCAGACTCCCTGTACTGGACAGCTAACTCACATTTATTTATCTGCTCACTTGCTGCCAAGTTCTTCAGGGTCTATCACAAGCTGACAGTTGGGTCCAGTCACTCCCGAATTAAGTATTCACACACCAAAAAGGCACCTACAGCTAGCATCACTAGCAGGAATAAACTCAAATCCCCAGTTTTAAAAAGGATCTCGTATGTAAACACCAAGGAAAATAAAATGGCACTGGAGACGCTTCTCAAATTTTTCTAATCTGCCTGTGTACTCCTAGGAATACAAACCACTGCAGCACAGCTCATAAGCAAGCCCGCCACGTGCCTCTTATGACAGTACTGCTCTCAACCACTTTTCTAGTATTTTTTAAACACAACCCATATTTTAGCCCCAGTATCTTCAATCATCTGATTTTCTGCACGTATTTACAGATTTACCACTTCTCTTCCTGCAAGTGCCCATTTCTCCCTACAAACAGCCTCCGAAGGCAAGACGGGAGGGCACCCTACGGAACCAGACTTTTAACTGCTAATATCTGCTGCTTGGGTCACTTGCTCGTCCACATCTTGAGATGCTGTCTGACTGCGTTCACCAGTTTAACACAGTTTAATAGAATTTTGTAAATGAAGTTTATGAAGTGAGAGTCATAATTATGCATGCACTACTTTAGTTACAGAATCCATTATGGCAGGAATCTCGAGTTCAGTTTATCAGTACAGCTGCGCTGACAAACCTATGTTAAGCGACTGTATAAAGCCTAAGTAGTTTGCTTTTTAAACACAACAGACAGCTGTGCCAAGAGTTTTAGCAGCACCGGCTACACACCAGAAGCAAGAGAAACATTTGTGCAAAATTAGGAAATCGGAAAGTAAATGCTGTCAGAAAGTTTACCATCAGGTTTCACAAAACACTCAAACTCGCTGTAAGAGAATTACACGATTCAACAGTTTCTTGGACTTTTCTTGGACTTCCCCCCCACACCAGCACTTAGCAATAATGCTACCTTAAATAGAATTGCTTGTATTTTTTCCAGCTTCATATTTGATTCCATACGTAAGCCTATGGGACCTGACGAGATGCATCCCAGCATCCTGAGGGAAGTGGCTGATGGAGTTGCCAAGCCACTCTCCACGCTATTTGGAAAGCCATGGCAGTCTGGTGAAGTCCCTGGCGACTGGAAGAAGGGAAACATTGCACCCATATTTTAAAAGGGTGGAAAGGAGGAGCCTGGGAGCTACCGATCCATCAGCCTCACCTCTGTTGTCTGGACAGACCGTGGAACGCACCCTCCTAGAAGCTCTGCTAAGGCACATGGAGGAGAGGGAGGTGATTCAAGACAGCCAGCACGGCTTCACCAAGGGCAAGTCCTGCCTGACCAACCTAGTGGCCTTCTGTGACGAAGTGACTGCATCCGTGGACAAGGAAGAGCTACAGATGTCATCTATCCAGACTTCTGTTAAGGCCTTTGACACAGCCCCTGACAACATCCTTCCCTCTTACATTGGAGAGATACAGGTTTGATGGGTGGACTGTTTGGTGGATGAGGAATTGCTTGGACGGTCACAGCCAGAGGGTAGTGGTCAACAGCTCAACATCCAGATGGAGACTGGTGACAAGTGGTGTCCCTCAGGGGTCTATATTGGGACCAGCACTCTGACTCTCTTCCTCTGCATGCAGAAGGTCACCCTTTCTTGTTGTGAGGGTTAGCAGTTGCGCCTGTGTGTGGTACTTTTGGTAGCCTTCTGGGTGGCAGAGGAAGGGGAACAGAAACAGTAGAAGCCAGTCAGAGAACCCTACAGCTGCTAGCATTTTCCTACAGAAAACAATGAAGTACTCTTCCTCTTTTTTGGGGGGAGGAGTGGGGTGGGGTTGTTTTTTTCATTCTATTCTGTATATATCCCAGTATGATAATGGTAGTAGACAGAGCTGGAGCTGTGGGAGCGGGGCCAGAGGAGGCCCCAGCAATGATCCGAGGGCTGGAACCCCTCTGCTGGGAGGAAAGGCTGGGAGAGCTGGGGCTGTTCAGCCTGGGGGAGAGAAGGCTGCGGGGAGACCTCAGGGTGGTGAAACCCTGGCACAGGTTGCCCAGAGAAGTGGGAGATGCCCCATCCCTGAAAACATTCAAGGCCAGGTTGGACAGGGCTCTGAGCAACCTGACCCAGTTGAAGATGTCCCCGCTCACTGCAGGAGGGTTGGGCTAGAGGGCCTTTAAAGGTCCCCTCCAACCCAAACTATTCTGTGATTCTATCTATCGAGACAACGGAATCCATTAAGAATGAGTAAAAAATCAAACAACCTGCCATTTACATTGCTTAGTATGAAGAAAGTTCCCCAGAGCAGCATCTTTTAATCACCTGACCAACACTGGAAAAGCAGTTTGACACAAAACTCTTTGGAAACGTTCTACAGCGAACTAGCTGTCTTCAAGTATGAAGCATTGTTTCCCTCTGAAGCCCCACAGAGATTTAGCAGCATTAAATCTGCTGTGCCATAACCAACAGGCACATTTTTCTGGACTAGTATTTCACTGTAGCAAGACTGTTCCTTTTTCCAACATTTTCTTCTTTGTATCCTCTTTTCTAAATAAGGATTTTCATTTACTTGAAAACTTTCAGTCTGTTCCCTCAGTATTTCCCTGCCTTTCCTTCTCATTCGCATCTCTGCTCCCCTTTCAATGCTATTTTGTCAGGTTTTATCTCTAAACTTACAAAACCCGTGAGAGATTCAAGCTTCACTTTGGCCTTCACATTTCCAAGCTGTGGGTTAAAAGCCTTCAGGGATCGGATCTACCCTTCCACTCAAACACAAACAGCACCCTCCCACACCTCCACATCCCTACAAACACGCCGCTCCTCCTTGCGGTCTCCGCAGCAGTTAGGAGGAAAGCAGACCCTGCAACCATCTCACCATTCTGAATGGCAATGAGAAGCAAGGCAGAGGACTGGAAAACCAGCAAGAGCATTCTGTGAACATCTGGGTAAAATACATAAGAAAAACACCAACTATTAGAAGTACTAGTAGTCAATGACTGCAGCAGAATGTAAGGACATAGATTCTGAGGGATGACTTAAGCAGAAGCTATACAAAGCTGAAAAGGTACAGAAAATTAACAGAAAAGGTCAGAGGACTTATCAGACTCGATCGCAAAGGAAGCACAGGTTGAGAGAGAGGAATTCCATTTCAGCAAGGCAAAAAAACCCTATGGCACTGGGAGCCTGCAAGGTGCCTCTTACTGGAAACAATGTCAACTTCCACTTCACACGCATTCATACTTCAAACTTTGTGTGTGTCCACATACAATAACCCAACTTTGGTTGACAGGTACGTACTTTCACCACTCCTGCTTCCACACTCCAGTCTTCACCACGGAAACACAAGTAGAGACCCACCAGCCTGCGACAAGCGCTTACAGTTTTCATAACGCAGACAAAACTTCAGATCACTTCTAATTAAAAATAATTATTTTCAGGTTTTCTCTGAAGGACCCAACATGTGTAAGTATAATTATATAGTACTACCCAGCGGCTGCAGTCATCCCACTCTTCCCGTACTTTTACTTGGAAGGGCATCTGTTATATTGAAACACGGCACCTTGCAGTCCACTTCCCCGTAACGCCTAAAGTCCACATCAAACGCTTGGGAAACGATTACAAAGTGAACCCAAAGAATCGTGGCTTTCAACGTTTTTGTTGGCATCCCCTCCAAAGCATTCTCATGTTAATGTATATGTAAATAAGTGTCTGCTGTGCATCATCTGTATATAAAAGGCACAGAGTCAATGGTATATAAATTACAGTCAACTAATTGTCTCAGCTGAAACGAAAGCAATCACACTAATGAAAGATGCTCCGATTAAAGACTACACAAGCATGCCTGGGAAGCTCAAATGCTTCGCCCTTGGTTCTCGCCAAAGCCAAACAATCAAACTCAGTTTTGATCAAGCCTGTTAAATCTCACCTTGGGACAGACACCAGGACAGTCGTCCTGCCCTTAAACCCACGTTTCGGGAAGCTGAGCACAAAGGCCAACCGCTGCTCACGCTGAAGCTCTAGCACTCCGAATTAGATATGCTTCTGCACGTAGCTTTTCCTCCTACACTCAGAATGAGCACGTTTCTAGGAAATTCTGCTTTTAAAAATCGTTTCACAGAGATAGATGCAAAAACCCCACAGATCAATGCAAATACTGCAAAAGAAACTGCACACGTCTTCGTAACAAACATATTTTCTAACTATTTATTTTCAAAGTAGTGCAGAAACGCTATCAGAACAAGGTCTAACGAAGGCCACTCTGTGCTCATTCCATGACAACTCTATCACAAGAGCTGGGGAAGAACCTCTCTTAAGTAAGCACCTGGCCTAGAGCACACTACTGTGATCCACTAATGCTTTTGTTCTTGGAAGTTAGGCAGACTCAGACTAAGTCA